CGGAGCGCTTCAAGTGACAAAGCCATCAGCCCTGGAAGGTATCATTTTGAGAGGTATCGTTCCTGGCGGCAATGACAGCGCGCGAAGGTTGGCAGTACACTTCGGAGTGTTATCTCGACCAAGACTGCAATGCACGATGTCAAAGAGGGAGATGACCTCATCGCCATCTACGTGCCGACAAGGAAGTTGTCCGTGTACCAGTCAGGGGTCGCATCGGGAGGAACGATCGTTGCCTTCGAGACCATTCCCTTCAAAGAGATAAGGGCAATCTGGAGATTCAAATCCACGAAGAAAGGACCTGTGAAAGAGGTTCGGCGGATATACTCCCGCGCCGTCGAGAGCGAGATCTGTCCAGGATTCAAGGACGCTGTGGGCGTGACACCGGCGGACTTTAATGGAAACCTCAACAGTTTCCTGGATGATGAAGTACTCTGCGGATGCCGACATCCTGAAGAAGATGGTCGTCGATGCTTGCGTAAACATCGGAGTGCCCGAAGCCTTGGACAAAAACCCATTTTGGCTCGAGGCCAGTATAAACAAGCTGTCCCCTGGAAGCTGCCCAGGTTAAAAACAGCTCAGTGTTAAGACCTCCGTGTTGGAGGCCGGGCCCAGCAAAACACAAAACAAAAACAAGGGGCCCGGAAAAAAAGAAAAAATGAAAAAAACCTGGGGGACCATCCCAGCTTGAACATTCGGTCAGCACTACTGGGGGCCGGTCCAGTATAAAAAACGGTGCTGGCGGACCGTTTCAGCGAAAATAATCGGTCTGCGCTACTGGGGGGCGGTCCAGTATAAAAAACGGCATCTGGGGGACCGCCCCAGGGTAAATAACTGGTCAACAGGCGTGGGCGCCCCGCTTGCGTTTCTGTCTGTTTCGCTGCCCCGTTACCTTTCCGTGTTGCGTGGCCCTTCATGTCCTTCCCGCCTCTTGCTGCTTTGTCGGTGCCTTCCTCGCCTGAGCTGGGCGAGGCCACACCCATCGTGGCCGCACTTGAAGCGGCACCCTTGTCCCCAGCCCAGGCCCTCGCCGCAGGGGCCGTGACGCCTGGCTTTGATGAGGCCCCAAATTGCCCTGCCTGCTTCGAGCCTGTCCTTATCGGACACGGGGGAAATGACGACATGCCGATGGCCGGGGTGCCGTCATCCGTACCATGCCATGTGCGTCGCCCAAATGCGGCAGCACATGAATGTTTCTTGTCCCTTTGCCGTGAGCCGTGGCAACCGCATTGGGACCTCGAGTTTGTCCAATGGTTTGCCAACGCAACCACAAGCCAGCCACGTCCGGCACACCCGGCAGCCCCTGCTGACCACACGGCGGCTGCAGTGCCACCCTCGACTGACCCCGCCCCACTGGGTCCCATCACTAGTCCCGGATGGTTGCTCTCCGGCCCTCCCCAGCCCAGGCAACCCGTTACCAGTCGCCAACAGCTGGCTGTTCGCCCCTTTGCTTTCGGCCGGGTGCAACACCTTAAGTCCAGAGGCAGATAGTCGGTGGCGCGCTGACCCTCGCTTCGCCGGTTTTTGGCCCCATTTTGTGGACTTGCTTCGTCGGTCTTCGCCGGTTCCTTGGCGGGTGTTTGTCGAGGCCCTCCAAGGCCTGCAGGAAGTCGATGCGTTACGGCGTGTCAGGGCCGCCGGCCAAGCGTTGCCTGCCGCAACCACCGTGTTTGTCACTTGGGGCGCAGCACGTCCAGGGACCAGTGGGTACATCCCAGCCACTGCCCAAGAAGCCCTGCTCCATGTCTTCCTTGGTGAGAGCCTTGCTTCACGAGTGGTCATGCCCCCCTTGCCCAAGCACCCGACCTGGATTTTCCACGGACTACTGCGCCGGAAGTGGCGCATCCTGCCCCTGCTCCGGCTGCGCAAGGTCAATCCCCAACTCCTGCTGTCCCTATCCCCCCGCCCGCTCCGGTGCCCACACCCGCCGATGGCGAGAGTATGCCCCGCGTGCGCTATCATTATTCCAAGGGGATTTTGCTACTGCACGGCATGCGAATGTGAGTTCATTTCCAGCGGCAAGTTCGTGATTCATGTGGATGACGACGAGCCCAAACCATCCGACACCACCAATGTGACGGAGGAAGTGAAACAAGCTCAGCGAGAAGCAAAGGAAGATGCTGAGCGATTCGTCGCCGAGGAAGAACGACCCGATACCCAGGAGATGAGTGAGGAACGGTCTGCAGGCAGATCGTACATCCGTCGGATATCGGGACGGACATCGACGACGAAGATGCGGGAGTTTGTCCGGACAAAGCAGAGGAGGATGCGGACGCAATCCATCTCCTGCAAGTCAAGGCCATCTGCGTTGACGAAGCCGGCGAGGCATCATACCTCTCTGGATTCATTGGCGTCGTGCTTTTCAAAGTGTGGAAGGTATTTGCCAACAACGAGGCAGATGTGGTCAAGGAGCCTGGCAAAGAAGGCGGACTATACTGTCCCTACATCTCGATCAACGGGAGGGACGGTTGGATTTTCAAAGATGTCGATAAAGAGAACATTCCAATCCCGCCAACCTATGAAGAGGTCACTGCCGCTCCTAAGTTCAAGAATGTGAGGTTCAAAAGCGCAAACCACAGGGACGAAGAAATGTTCTTTTGGTTCCTCAAGCTGAGAGGGCTATACTTCATGTATCGGATTTGGACTGCCTGCAATATACTTGGTATCAAAGCAGAGCAGTTCAGAGGTGTCAGCCACCTGAAGGACATTGCTTTCGTCAGCGACACGATATTCCGATGCATCGCCCTCGGCCTCAACTGCGATCACATGACCTTCTACCGAACAGATGTGAACATTGGACGAAAGTTCTTGAAACTTGAGCTTGGCGCCATCATTTGCATTCAAAGCGTCAAAGAGGTCGACACTCCTCTTATCCAATGGTGCTATTCTCGCAATATACATCTACCCTCGCGCTATATCAAGAAGATCAAGCGGACCGAGGAGACACCGCAATCTCTGTTAGAAAGGTTCCGGTGGAGGGCGAGTAGAAAGGCCATCGCAGAATCATCACACTGGTGATCAAGCATTTTCTTTACGATTTCTTCTACGTGGGGGATCAACTGGAATTTGCATTTATACACAATGGGATCGTGATACTCATCGCGCATGGTATCATGGCCAGCCCTGGTGGTACTCGTCGTGCACAGTACACTGGGCAAACCAAAAGTATTTGCACGAGACTTGCATTTATCACCACAAAATGTTTTCTTGTTTCCGTACAGTATCGTCATCGGCGACTACTATTCTGGAAATGTCAGGTATTTGGTGGCCTACGATTATACGACGCTACTATTATTACTGGTTACAAATTGGTGATGGACTAGGCTCGTCATGGATATTCGTTTTCTGCAGACTGCTATGGATCTGTACAATTACCTTATAGATAGCTTGCTGCATGTGAACCATTGCACATGAGGTCCGGTACGTGACCTGTAGCATTCTCATTTCGTGTTAAGTTTACAGAACCTGGTCAAACTCGTGCAGACACATTGCACTGAATTGAAAAAGAGAAGCCGTGCGTCCATGCGTGTCGGCATGCGTTTGTGATTGGTTCCCGACCCAGGGATGAACCCAAGCCCGGGATGGGGGATGCTAAGAATCTCCGAGCCGCAGGCTAAAACATCCTAAGGGCAGGTTCTGAGGGTCACCCTGTTACTTCCCCTTGTTTAAGGTCCTAAACCTTTGAGGGAATTGTGTTTTGTGGGCAGCCGACATGCACATGCGAATGCATTTGGCTCAAGACCTTGATTACAGAATCGAGGCAAACATCCAAACACAGCTGTGAACAAAGCAAAAGGGTTCGTATTCCGCGGTCGCATCGAGCCGTGAGACAGCGCAGATCATTTACCTTACAACCCCCTTTTTACCACGACCACTACTATACGACTTACTGTCGAGGGTATTGTTCACCCCACGGGAGTCGAACCTCAACTGCCCTGTCATTTGACTACGTGGTTGTTCCGCCTCCTGGCAGTACCTATCTTGGCTTCGTCTGATGCTATGTTCAAAAAGTTTATGGCCAGAAGATGTATGAAATGATTGGACAAGGATCAAGGGGAGGAATGCGACACACATTTTTCAGAAAGTAGAAACAAATACTATTTACAAATGGGTGGAAAGTCTTGAATTAGCTGCGCAAGTCTGCCAGCATTGTAAAATCAGCGCACGTTTGGTGACATCCATCTAAAGTGGAATGACTTCCCTGACATAGGCAGCAGGCGCGGGTTTTGGAGGGGGGGTGCATTTTTATTTTATTCATTCTTTGTTCTTCCGGTTTATGTTTTGGTATGCGATGTCATGTGATGCCATGTCATGGCATTGAGAATTGTGGCTCATTTTTATGATTTTGTGTCATTTGTTCAGTTTCAGTTTCATCCCCCAAAGGGTTCAGAAGACGCTTTTGGAGTACCGGCGCTTAGTGAAGGCCGCTGGCTGCTGCTTAAGAAAGTAGGTGAGAGCGGAAGAAGAAGAAACGAAATCAGAAGAAAAGATAAATTTGAAGAGGAGAGAAAAAAAGAGAAGAAAAGAGAGGCAAAGAGAAGAGGTGACAAGTGTTCAGATTGCATGACAGGTGCGTCGCTTGGGGATAGCAAGGAAGGAAGGTGGAAGGAAGGACGGAAGGAACGGCAGACTCTCTCTTGTCTCTTCTTTTTCTCGCTTGCTCTCTCTCTCTCTCTCTATTTCTCTCTTTCTTTCTCTCTTTCTTTCTCTCTTTCTTTCTTTGATTCTTTCTTTCTTTCTTTCTTTCTTTCTTTCTTTCTTTCTGTCTCTCTCTCTCTCTCTTTCTTTCTTTCTTTCTTTCTTTCTTCCTTCTTTCTTTCTTTCTTTCTTTCTTTCTTTCTTTCTTTCTTTCCCTCTCTTTGCGCGCTGTGCATTCAGCGAGTTACTTCCTTCTGAAACGAATGGAAAGTCGGCAGGACATTGCTGGAAGCCATTTCCAAAGGGAAGGGACTCTTTTCATATCCAACTGCCCGAATGAGAGACGGAACACGTTGCCGTGGCAGGAAGGTATTGGAGAACAGGAGGCCAGTGAGGACGCGAGGGCCTGTAAGAATGCCTCTCAAGGGATGTGCTTTCGGTCGGTGGACGTGGAGACCTTGGCACAGCAGCTCATGGTGGCAGTGGATAATCATGACGTTCCAGTGGTTGAGGATATCCTATCTCGTGTGCGCCAGGACGGCAAATCAGTTCTGAAAGATTTGGTGCGCGCATTTGATGTGGATGGCAACACGCTCTTGCACCGGTGCGCGGGCGGAAGCAACACAGATGGGGGGCAGGTGGTGGAACTCTTAGTGGAGTCAAAGGCGGACGTGAACAGCAGAAACTTGCTCGGTGAGACACCCTTGTTGTCTGCGGCCCGTTGTCGCCAGTTGGAGGTTATAGCTGCGCTGCTACGAGCTGGGGCGGATCCAAGCCACCCAGACACCATCGCTTCAGAGACAGCTCTAATGGAGGCAGCATGCCGGGGTGATGCGGAATTATGCCGCTTGCTACTGCAGGGCCGTGCTGACCCACTTGCCTGCAATCATCATGGCCGCACCGCAAGGGACTTGGCCATCGAAAACCGCCACAGCATCTTGGCTCACACGGCCTGCATGGTGCTGAGCATTCGTTTGGCGAGTTGGTAAGCTGTACTCCGTACATTTGCGCATGCTCTGCAGGTGACGTTGTGCACCTGTTTGCGGAGTTCGGCATCACGGGTGAGGCTGCTGACTCGCTGCAAACAGCGGAGTTAGTTGAGGCTTTAAATGTGGCTGAGATGCACGGCTTGCTGTCAAACTTATCCAATGCTGACCTGCAGCGAGTTCTTGCTAGAGGAGTCGACGGCTCTGGGCGGCAGCTGCTGCACATTGCTGCCAGTCTGGGAGGTGATGATGCCGCTGCTGACATGGCGAGATTGCTGATAGAATTTGGAGCGCCCGTTGACGATGCCGATTTCCAGGGCAACACGCCGCTCTCGCTGGCTGTTGGCGCTGCTTGCGCAGCCTCAGACAAATGGCCCGCATTGGACACCATCCGAGCTCTCTTGGTTGCAGGAGCGTTCCCGGACCAGGGCCTCTTGTCACACGACTTGGTGGATGCTTCAAATATGGACATCCATCGGCTACTTCAAGCCTTCGGGGAGCCTGTTCAGCAAGAGGAGGAGGAACCCGCACTGGATTTGGAGGCTCAGTGTGCAGAGGAGTCGATTCCCTTGGAGAAGTTGGGGCCCTTGGGCGCAAAAGCGGTGTTGGTGGCATGCTGCAAATGGCGAGGAATGTCTGTGAAGCAGCTGCGAACGGAATGTGCTGACCTTGGGATTCCCACGGATGGCTGCGTCGAGAAGGCGGAAGTGATCGGGAGCTTCGGACTTGAGCTTGCGCCAATTGCTGTTGCCAGCGTTTTCTCATTGAGCGGTCTGCCGTGCCGCTGCTAAGGCGACTTCGGCAGTTACATATTTGGCAAGCGCTGCCGTTGAGCATGTTGCAGGAGGATGGGGGGGCTTTGTCTTGACTTGTGTGTGTACGTGTGTGCGTGAGGGGCTGTTGGTTGCAGATGTTTGGCAGGAGGTTCGCGAACGTGGTCTGGAAGCCAAGCATGACAGCCGTGCGGAGCTTGAGGAGCAGTTGGCTGAACCGAGATTTGGGTGCTGCTCAAATGGGTTTGTGGATTCGACGAGGGCACTTATTGAATGTGCTTGAGTGAAGACGCTTGGGCATGCTACCGTTTGTGCTTTGGCGACTCCTGTTCTGCTTGTCCTGTGCAGGGGCGCTAGTCTGCAGTCCTTAGGCTCAGGCTGGGCAGGCATAGGACCCGCATCCCTGCAAAGATGAGCAAGCAGTGCAACACCCAGGCGATTTTCCTGAGGAAGGACGTGGCAAGAGAGGATTTCGGCATGGTGGCAGGCCCGCCGCCCCGCCGACAGGAAAACGACTTTGGGGGTGGGGGTGGCAGCGGCATGCGTGCCTGGGGCACTCGAGAGGTCAATGAGGGCAGGGGCTATGGCGGTGGCCGGGAAGCGGATTGGGGCAGCGCCAAAGGTCCAAGCAAGGGATGGGGCAAGAGCCGCAACGATTGGGACTACGACCGCTACGAGGACATCGATGGCGGCTACGGCTACGGTGGCTACGGTGGCTATGGCGGAAATGGTGGCTATGGCGGATCCAAAGGCAAGGGCAAGGGGAAAGGCAAAGGCAAGGGGAAAAGCTACGGCTATGATTCCTATGGCTCTGGCTCAGGCTACTCGATGCATGATGAGCGTGGCGACGTTCGGGAGCGATCGCCACGCCGGACTGGTGGCTTCGGAGGACGGTGGAAGCATGACCTCTATGACAAGAAGGACGAGCCCGGCGAGTTCCGGAACTTTGGCGGCCCCAGAAAAGGAAAGGGCAAGAGCAAGGGCAAGAGCAAGTCAAACGGCAAGCCGGCGGATCCGAAGCAGTTGGACCAGGAGCTCCACCGCTACTTCGGCCAAGATGGGGATAAATCGGACAAGGTGGAGCTAGATTCGGCGCTGGACTCCTACATGGGCACAGAGGGCAAAGAGAGCAAAGAGGGCAAGGAGAATGCAGAGGCCAAAGAGGCCAAGGAGAAGCCCGCAGACAAGTAGCGGCTCATTGCTGCATGGTCAAATGAGCCTAGACAATCCCAGAGGAGTCCTGAGATCAGGCAAGTCAAATCCCAGATGAGTCCAGATGCGCATGCAGCATTCCGCCCGTGGAATTCCGCTCAATATTCTCACGGCCCTCATCAGCTGAAGGGACGGCAATTAAGGTGGCCCAGTGATGTAGCATATGAACCTTAAAGAGATGCAACGCATAGCCTTGAATCAGGCGAAAACGGGCTGCGCGTATCGTAGATGTGCCATGCCGCCTTGGGGTCCGAACTGGCCAGATATCGACCAGGACCTGCTCCTGGTATCTGCATACAATGGCCGCAGCCACCGGGATCGCGTGCTGGACATGGGCACATTTGAGTCACACGCGCCTGCTTGACATGTGGGTATCACTGCGCGCATGGTTTAGGGTTTAGGGTGGCCTCCCTCGGAGCCTCGGGATGCAGGAGCAGTGCAAGACGAGACGCATCCCCGTTGACAAGTTCGCCGAGTTGGACAAGGCGTGTGTTAGGGTGCTGGTCTTGATGCCTTTGAGCTTGGATCTTCAAGACTTTAGGAAGCGAAGGGCCGAAATCCCGGAAAATTGCCAATGTCTTGTCTTGTTTAAGGCTCAGCTTGTGAGTCCTTGCGAGCTTTCGAGCTTCCTAAGGAATTTGCGCAGCCTTTGGTACCGAACCAGCCGCCGCATTGCCTGTGCCGTGAATGCCATGGGCTTGCGGCCAGCGATGCTTTTGCAGAGCTTAGCCTGGGGCCTTTCTGCTAGCATCTCCTCACCATCCTCACCATCCTCCGTATGCTCAGACTCTCTGGGTGGTGGCGTCTCCTTCCTGCAGGCCTCCACTCGAGTTTGGGCACCAGCACCACCTGCTGAGTCATCTTTGGATGTGGTGCTGACGAAGACACAGCAAGTGCACTGGGAGAACGCCATCAACGACTCCGTCATTGAGAATGTCACTCTGCCGGAGAACCTTACAAAGGCGCCAATCCCGCAGGTGCAGCCGATTCCAGATGCAGAGCCAGTCCAGGCAAATCTTTCAAGCCTGGAGAACCTTCGTGACTGCGTTATGGGAGATTGGAGTGAGTGGAGCGAATGCCGCAACAATGTGAAGGTGACTGGCCTCAAGGGGCCTCATCAAATCCGCCAGCGTTCCATCCTTCAGCCATGGCTGCCAAGGGGTGCACCCTGTGCACCTCAGCTGGAAGCGCAAGAGTGTCTGAAAGCCTTCAGGTGATAGACCTCTGCCAAAAAGTTGCGCCAACGAATGCCGCATGCGTGAGATGTGAGCATGCTGCTGCTTTGAGTGGCGACTTTTGTTTTGCAGGCAGAAGTGGTGCTGAAGCAGGTCCAGCGACTGGAGGCCAGCAGCGCTGGCGACCTGAAACGCGAGCCGGGCGGCCCAGACTCCGTGGCCTCGAAGGCCTCGAAGGCCTCGAAGGCCTTGACGTCACCTCGTCAGGTTTGCCCGCCGCGGCTTGACCGTGGAAGCCGGCATCGACGCTTGGCAAGGGAGAAAGGGAGAGGCTGTGACTCTGTGACGGGTGCAAATTTCCCATGTCAAGGAGAAGCAGGACTGGGCAAAGCCACCAGGGAGCCTTCCAAGCGTGCGAATGAACTTGGCAGGAGATGTTAGCCAGGCTGACCGACGTGCTGGTGTGGGAGGAGCTTCCCTTGATTGCATTGCAAAAGGCCTGCAGCGACCTGGATGAATGAAAGGCCCAAGGGCTGGCGTGAGGGCCCAGAGTGGCCTGATGTCGAGGCGAACGGAGCTTGAGCACCTCCCTTGGCGAGAGGGAAGCTTGCCAGCAAATGCGGGCTTTCTCCGTAGGCAGGTGGGGTGCGGAAGGATTTCAAGGACATGTGAGACTCTGCGCAGAGAAGCTCCGCATCACAGAGTACTCAGCGTACTCAGTGTATTCGGTGTACTCGGTGTACTCAGTATTCCCTAGGACGAACTCATCAAACGCCTTCTGAGCTCCATAGGCTGGACTTGGCTCGTCGCTCGTGCTTCACTTGCCAATCGTATTTTGAACCATTTCGGATGGAACTCTTGATCGAGGTCAAGTCAAGGTGATGGAATCCCGCTTCAAGAACTTCTTCAACTATGGCAACCCTTCGGAAGCTTCACAGGTGCTGCCTGCCCTTGGGTTTCCCGTCTCAGCTCATGTCTGTCAAGGCTCCAAAGGGTCAATCAGACTCACATCCGCGACTTGGCAGTGAATTTGACAGGGTTTGAGTGAATGCAAGGTGGAGCGAGCCCCTGCCATGCCCGGGCCAGGCAAAAGTCCGAGAAAACCGGCTTTGGCGATGAGTTTGACCGCGCGTGGGAAGCAAAAGCTGCCGAGAATCGCCGGGCGTTTGCTGCAGGCCGCAGGGTTAGTGGACTGCACGAGCTCTGATATCCGCGCACAGACTTGGTCGCCGTGCGAAGTTTGCAAGCCTCTCTTGAGATTTTGCCAGGCAACCGAAACCACGCAGGGATGCCATCAGGGCAACGCCGCTTCGCCGGGCCGGGCGGGCCGGGCGGGCCCGGCGTGCCTGGGCCTGGTCGGGGCAGGTACCTTGACAGCATTCATGAAGCGACGGGGACACAAGGGACGCAAGGGACACAAGATGGCACAAGGGGCACGAGCCAGAGTTGGCCTATCCCGTTTGAGCCCCAGGCCAACTCAGGCTCAGAAGCCGCCTGTCGAGCGCTACTTTCGTTCGCTGGGCTTGCCGCCCTCGGCCACGCACGACGAAGTGCGCAAGGTGCCCGCCCGCCCAGTTCTAGTTGCAAATGTGCTTTGCCCAAGCAGGCATACCGGAAGCTTGCCTTGCAGTACCATCCGGATAAGAATCCTGGCCAGACGCTCGCAGCATTTGGACTCGTTGGACATTGGAGACATAGGTACCTTCTGCACATTCTGCTAGCAACAGGCATGCAATGCCAGAAGCACGGTCAGCTAGTTGCAATGCATGCAGGTTTTGGTGGCTGTGCTTGAAATGCGCGAGCCTGCAAGGAAGAAGGCTGCCGCAGAGGTCAAGTTTCGAGAAGTGGCGGAAGCATACGATAAGGTATGCGAGCACTTGCGCACAAAGTAGCGCAACAAAAGTCAACTAATTGCCTTGACCATTGCTTCGTATTTGGCAGCAATGTCAGCTAAGAAAGTAGCAATCTAGCGTGTGACAGCTGCGACACCGCGGGACATGACATGGTTGCCCTGACTTGGCCCGAGAAATCACAGCTGATCCCCTGCAATTTACCAATGTAAAGACTAAGCTGGACAACTTGTAGAGCATTTGCCACATCCAGCATCCAATGGCACCCACAAAATCACCCGCAAGAGTGAGCAGCAGCACTCCTTGGCATATCGTAACTTGCAACCGAGCATTCAGAATGCTGTCAGAGAAAGTTTGGGCTGGAATCGTCCCTTCTTGTCAGTGTGACATGGCGCTGCTGCTTTTGATCCTCTCTGTCCGACTTGCAGCTTCCGCAGATGCCTTGGATGGCACGGACTGGGAAAGGACTGGGCAAGGACTGGGCAAGGACTGAGCAAGGATAGGGCAAGGAGTGGGCAGTTGGGGCGTTGAAGGCATTAGCAGATCGCTGAGGCATGGGTGCGGGGCTCCATTGAGGCTGGCAGTTAGGGCATTTGAGGCCGAGCTGCCTTGTTTGGCAGGTGCCGGCGGGCGGCACAGTGTTTCTGTCCAAGTTCTGCCTCCCGGCTGAAAACAACGCGGCGAAGCGGAGCGCCGTTTCTCGCGATGTCAGGTTTTGACTGGAAGGCAGACTCAGATGCACAGCACCCTGTGGGCAAGCTTCAGGCCATATGCCTTGCGCAGCACATGGTTCTAGCTCCTGAGCACTGACCAGGCCACCTTGCATTCGACGAATCCAGGGCAGGGCTTGGTGGTCTTTGTGCTGCTGCTCGGTGGTCACAAGCATGAACTCATTGAGACTCTTTGCTGTCTTTTGCTTTGGTTTTGTGGCATTGAAGGTTTGACGACCAAAAGTCGTCTTACCCAGATGGTTCTTCCATCTGGGGATTGACCTGTGGCTCGGACAGGCACGGCCGGAAGCGCACACTGGCATTGGTTTGTCAAATGTGCAGGCTAGATTCTGCATCGAAATGGAAAGATGTACCCGAGCTGAACGAAGGGTGGCAAGCACGCGAGCCACGCCTAAGCTGACTGGACCTTTGACGGGCCCTTGGCGGCTGAGGTCATCAATGTAACCACCTTGACCTCCGGAAGAGCTCCAACGGCGGAGCTTTGGCACGCGCTAAGCCTGGCACGATGCGCGAAACTCGTTTCGCTGGCATCTTTGGGACGCGTTTTGACGTGCCAGGAAATTTTCCAAAGGGTTCGACCTCGATGGTGGTATGCTGTGCTCGTAGACTGCTCTGGCTTTACCAGCTGCTTTGCCTGGTTACTGGAGAGGGCGGAGAGGGCGGAGAGGGGCACAGAGGGGAAGGAGGCAGAAGGAGGCAGAAGGAGGCAGAGAGGCGGAGTTACCAAGGGACAATTGATTACACTGCTCTGCGCTCAGGGAGCAGCAGCTTTCAACGCTTCCGGTTCGGAAGTGCATTTGCGCTGAGGTGCACATGACAAACTTGCACTTGGGTTTTCTGCAAGAGTTCTCTATGGATCGCGTGGGGCCGGTTGGCGCCTATCTCTTCATGGCAGTGCAGCCTGCTTGCACTTTCCGGCCTGCGCCAGCTCCAACACACCACGCTCAGCAGAAACCGAAAGGTACGGGTTTCTGGCTGCTTGTCAGCTGGTCGCCGTCTTGAAAAGGCCACATGTACCAGTATGTAGGCTGTATGTCCCCTTTGCCCCTTTGCCTTGCAGCCCTACGGTAGGAACACGAACGCGAAGACTCAGCACCCGCACCTTGAATGCATCGCGCCCACGCCCTCTTCCGACGCGTCAGTATCGGCATATATGGCATATGCAGCATATGTGTGCCTGGTCAGATGTGGCAAGGATCCGAATACTGCTGAGTGCATGTGTCGGCACTGGAGTGGACACCACCTCAGAGTCAGTCGCTCTGAATGGGACATTGTGCTGGCAATGCTCAGGTTGGCACACTTGCTTTTCTGCTGAACCTCATGTGGTATGCCTACCACGGAGAGGACCAAGCCAATTTGTACATGGCCAGTACCTTACACTTTCAGTGCCCAGCCTCCGCGACACAAGCAGCGATCGAATCTCTGTGCCGAGGCAGGCAAGTTGTTGAAAGCCGGCTCGAAGTACACGTTGCTGACAATCCTACTTTTGCTGTCGCGCGGCCGTGACTTGCTCGCAAAGCCAACGGCTGCAATGCATGTGGTGCGCAGCCAAGGGTGCATATCCGTCCCGCTCCATGGTCAAGATCTCATGCAAGCGGCTCGCAAGACCCTCAGCGAGGGGGTTGTAGTGCTTGGACCATTTATGAATCATTTGCATTTGACATTGACGTGGGGCATCCACATGCATGTGGATACCGAGGGATCCTTCTCCCGTTGTACATCGCCAGCGTCACCCTGGAGGCTTGCAGCTTCGACCTGGGTGTTTTCCAAGTTGTTCGTTGCATCTTGCATTGCTTCTGCTCCAGCCTCTCAGGTTTGGGGTGAGTACTCCCAGTCTCGGAACCACACAACAGCGCGGATCTCGGACTAATTTTCAGGCTGCGTGAACCATTCGCGTCGACTGGAACCTCAGGATGTGGTGTACTGCACATTCATGGGTATGGTCATTATGAGCATTGTGTCTGGCTGCACTTGGTGGCATCCCATTTTGCAGCTTTTCGGCTTTCTATTGATTCGCTTCAGCAGTTGTGACATGCCATGAGGATGTCGCTCTATTTGTGCTATACCTTCGCAATCTCTGCAGCTCCTGGAGATCTGAGACACTCAGCTCTGAAGTGATCTTCAAAGTGCGGTTGTTCCTCCAGATTTGCACATTCGGGCAGCTGGGATCAGGACAGATTTCATCCGACAAGGCTTCTATCGCAGCTGGGGCTTGGTCTACTCGGCAGCTTTCCTGGTTTTGCCCGCTACCCGGCTGCACACAGGTCTGAGAGATTGCGCTGGCGCGAGCCTCTTGCCAGGTTTCTGTCCTGATTGTCCAGAGCGTGGCGCCGTGGGTGCGTTCCGAGGTGATCTTTTTTGTGCGCCATGCTGAGTTGAGCTTGGCAGATCTGGCAGGCTTGCGCGGGCCAAAGCTATCCTTGGTGATGAGGTCAAACACTGCCCATTGCAGTTTTCTGGCCCTCCTCATCATTGGCCTGTGGCCAGATTACACGCAGCCCTTCTTCTGTATAGATCAGCCTTCCGTGCCTCAATGGCAAGAAGCAATTTTAAAAGGCAGGTCTTGGTATTGTGCCTGATGCTTGCAGGCACTGGCGCAGACATTTGGTGTCAAGACAGCCTCTTGGCAGATCTTTGGGCCATGTGGGCCATGGTGTTTTTCCGCGCCGGTTCAAGGAGTTGTTGGATGAGGGGCAGGCATTGTGGCAACCCCCCAGCGCTCAGCTCGGCAAGTACACTTCAGAGTGGGAGCCGTGTTCTCGTCAGTCAAGGCTTGGCTCGGGAAGTGGAGCTACGGTCCAAAGGCTGAGCCTCTGAGCGTTCCAAAGTGAGTGCCGCGCGTTTCACTGGGCCCGGGGCCCATCGCCAGACCTAGGCAGAACGGCACGGGGGTGGAAACAGGCGCCACATCCTCCCTATTCCTCCCTATTCCTCCCTAGTCCTCCCTATTCCTCCCTATTCCTCCCCATTCCTCCCTATTCCTCCCCCCGGAGCACTCCCAGTCGCATTGCAAGTTGCTGCAAATTGGCACATCTCAGGTGCGAGCTTTCCTGACATCATTCCTTTCCAGGCCCCATCGCGCAGAGTGAAGATTGTGCTGCATAGTTTGCTGAGATTTGCGGTCACGCATGCTGAGATTTGCGGTCACGCATGCTTGCTTTCTTGTAGCGTCGGAGCTTGGCTCAGATTTCGGGCGAAGCATTGAGCAATTTTTGCCTTGGGTACGTCACGATGGGCTGTGGTCAGAGCAAAGCACAAGTTCTCGCGCTGGCCCCGGTATCCACCAACCCGGAGGACTACTTTGACTATTCCGGAGGGAAGACATGGTACACGTGCAGGCCAGACACAGCAGTGGAGCCGAGGTTGGCCAAGTCGGGCATTGGCAGCGCAGCTGGGTGTCCTCCGACAACCCTCCCAGCTATGTTGAAAGCTGCAGCTGAGAAGGCTGGCTCTTCTCCGGCCATGAAGGTGGAAAGGCCCTGCCCGCCACCAAAGGATGACAAGGCCCCACCAGCATTGCCAGCTGCTCAGTGGACTACATGGACATGGCAAGGCTACTACGACGACTCCCGCAAAGCTGCCAAGGGTTTCATCAAGCTGGGGCTGAAGCGCTTCGATTCCGTGAGCATTTGGGGTTTCAACTCCCCCGAGTGGATGCTGAGCTCCCTGGGCGCTGGCTTTGCAGGGGGGAAGGCTGCCGGGCTTTACCCGACAGACACGGCGGAGACTGCCGCCTTCAAAGTCGTGCACAGCGGCTCCAGCATCGTGGTGGTCGAAGACAAGAGCAAGTTGGACAGGCTGGTCTCAGCGCTTACGGCTCGCAACGACCCATCCCCCATCAAGGTGAAGGCAGTCGTAGCGTACGGCTACGAGCCTCCCGCTGAAGCAAAGGTTGAGGTGAGTGGCCGCTGGGTGCCTGTGATCAGTTGGGCTTCGCTCATGGAGCTTGGCGCCAAGGAGAGTGACGAAGAAGTGGATGCGCGATGCAAGGAGGTGCAGCCAGGCCATTGCGCTGCCCTCGTCTACACTTCCGGCACTACAGGGGAGCCCAAGGCGGTGATGATTTCGCACGACAACGTTCTCTTTGAAGCCTGCGGCGTCATCGACATAGGAAGTAGGCACATGAAATTCTGTGCCTTGAAAGAGCAAGAGCGCATCTTGTCCTACTTGCCGCTGTCGCACATCGCCGGGTTGATGGTTGACATTGCCTTTCCTATCGCATCGACTGCAACCACCCCGGCCCACACCACGGTCTTCTTTGCCAGACCATATGACCTGAAGCTGGGCAGCCTGAAGGACCGGCTTTGCGTGGCTCGGCCCACCGCCTTTCTGGGAGTGCCCATGGTGTGGGAGAAGATCGCAGACAAGCTCCGCGCTTTGGGCGCATCGAACCCAGGCTGGAAGCAGTCTTTGGCGGCCTGGGCCAAGGACAAAGGCAAGGCTGCCTCAGTGGCCTGCCAGCTCGGGGGCAGTGGTGACCGGCCATCCGGCTATGGCCTCGCCAGTAAGCTCGTCTTCTCGAAGATCAAGGCCAAGCTGGGCCTGGACAAGGTGAAGTTTGGCATCACGGGGGCTGCGCCCATCCGCGTAGACACCTTGGAGTACTTTGGGTCCATTGGTTTGGACATCAACGAGGTCTACGGCATGTCCGAGAGCACGGCTGCGGCCACAGTGTCCACAAGTCTGGCACACCAGTGGGGCTCCTGCGGTTTTTCGTTGCCCGGCGTAGAGGTCAAGGCCTTCAAGGTCAAGGACGACTTGAACGACAAGACGGAATGCCCCCGCGCTCCCGCGCTGGATGCCATGGACGAGTCCTTCCAGGGGGAGTTGTGCTTCCGCGGGCGCAGCATCATGATGGGATACCTGGCGCAGCCTGCCCTTGGCCCGGACCATGTCAAGGAGATCGAGAGCAAGACAGCTGCCACCATCGACAATGAGGGCTGGTTGCATTCTGGGGACAAGGGCATTGTCACCCAGGCGGGCATGGTGAAGATCACTGGGCGATACAAGGAGCTCATCATCGGCTCCGGCGGTGAGAACATTGCGCCGGTTCCAATCGAAGATCACATCAAAGCATGCTGTGATGGAATCAACGAGGCAGGTTCAGAAACACCCTCAAATCATCTCAATTCAGGTCGTATTCTTTTTGCCCGCGGTAAGCCTTTGAGCCTCGAATGTTGCACCCATTGTAACGAGTGCATGAGCAGCAGGATGAAGCAGTCCACGAAAATAGCTGTTCTTGATTGTTGTCACGAGTCTCAAGTTGTGTTTTTTCTTGAGCGCTTGCCGCAATCGGCATTCAAAAGACGTTGAACAGTTTCACATCAGCTCGTCAGCTTGGTTCTTTGGCTTCGCACAGGTCATCATCATTGGGGACAAGCGCAAGTACAATGTGGCCCTAATCACGCTCAAAGCGGTTGGCGCGAATGGTGAGTCGAAAGGCACCGACCAGCTGGACACTCCGGCGCAAAAAGTGAACCCTTCGGTGAAGACTATCACCGAGGCTTTGGAGGATGAACAGTGGATTAAGACGATCACCACAGCCATAAAGAAGACCAATGACAATGGCAAGGTTTGCCCCAACAATGCCTTCAAGATCCAAAAGTTCATGATCCTGCCTACCAACTTCTCGGAGGAAGAGGGCTTCCTGACACCTACCAAGAAAATGAAGCGGCCCATTGTGGAAAAGGCCTTTCTCAAGCAGATCGACGCGATGTACCAGTCAAGTGATACCTACGTGCGCTACCAGCCCTGAGTTGACATATCATGCTGAGATTTGTCGGTTTCACCCGAATTCTCTCAGGTGGGCATGCGCAAGGGCGCATGAAGAGCTACTCGTTTTCCAATGGGCCAACGTGCAGCCAAACCCATGACAAGCCTCGGGCACACTTCCTCTTGCGCTGACACAAAGTCTTTGATACACGTTGTCAGCTCCTCACAGGACGTTCTTGCGACCAATGTGTGCAAAAGGGCTCGGGACGTTCACGTGCCTCACATCCCACGCGCCAAGTATAGACCACATATGAGGCTTTGAGGCTGTGTGCCACCAGGGTTACCAGCTGCTCTGGTCAGGACTTGAAGGCGTGAGGACTGAAGGACTGAAGGACTGAAGGACTGAAGCCGAGCCATCAAACTGGTGAGTTACTTGCGCGAAAGCTGAAGGCCTGAGGGACTCATTGCCTGAAAGGACTGCCTAGAGACTAGGTCCAAGCGGAAATGGACTCATCCGTCGCATTGTCATGCAGGCATGCTCACATTGACGTCCGATTGGACACCTACTTTAGAGCCTCCGGCCCAGTCCGCCGACATTGTCCTCCCCCTTCTCTCCTTCTTCCTCTCTCCCTTGTCTTTTTCGTGTGTTCTGTCGTCCTTTGTCCCTCCCTCTGCTCCCCATCCTCCCCATTCCCCCCAAGCCTCTCTCTCCTCAGTCTCCTTTTTTTTTGGTCTCTGTCTCTCTCTATCTCTCTCTCTCTGTCCGTCTCTCTCTCTCTCTCTCTCTGTTTCTCTGTCTCTTTCTATCTGCCTGTCTCCTTCCTGTCCACGCCCCTCTGCAGAAAAAGGGTACCCTAATTCTTCCCTCTCTACTGGAGGACCTAGTCTCTCTCTCTCTCTCTCTCTCTCTCTCTCTCTCTCTCTTTCTTGTCAAACTACATGCTTCACCTTGCACTCTTGTTGCATGTATGTTCACTACCGCAGGCCTTGAGCTTACTACTCCGCATGAGTCAAAAGGTTGGCAGCTGCAGACTACATTGGTTGACTGTTTGTTTGAACACTACAGCACTTGCACTTGTAAGCAAAGTAACAACGATTTTAACGTGGTAGCGGAGCTGAGATCCTAAACATAGGGGAGCTCCAGTAAGCAGTAAGTACTACAACCACAGCAACAGCAGCTACATGCCAAACTACTACGACATGTCAGGAGAAGCAGCATCAGCCTCAGCACAACAAACTACAGGAGCAGAGAACGGGCCAACAGCAGACACAGTAGGAGCCACGACTACGGGAGCAGGAACAGAACAAGACAACGACGTTCAGAGACTACATAGATACAAACTGCCACCACCCTTCTTCACTGGTGACTACTCCCAGTATGAAGAATGGCTGTTCAAGCTACAAGCATACCTCGGCCTCATAGACCGAGACTTCGACCTGGTGCTACAACTAGCACAAGTGGCTACACGACAGATTGAGGACACAGACATCAGAACACACATACTCGACCCTACACAAGCAAGCAAAGCAGTAGACCTCTCCAGAGATCTACACTACATCCTCATCAACATCTGTCAGGGAGCAGCAGCTACAGTAGTAAGGCAAAACCGCTACAACGCAAACGGATGTGAAACACTACGACTACTACACAACAGGTTCAGCCTACCAGTAGGAACAAGGAGCGTTGGTTATCTTACCAAACTACTGGAACCCACCATTCAACAAGCGCAGTTTGAAGAACAATTTCTACAATGGGAATACGACATCAACCGCTACGAGAAAGACAATGGAACAGCACTACCAGATGGAACCAAAATAGCAATACTACTCAACAAAACCAAAGGAGCACTGCAGCAACACCTCCAACTGCGAGCTGGACAGATCACGAACTACATCGAGATCAGAGCACTCATCCTGGACTACTACAAAACGATTTCAGCCTTCACTAGATCTACTTCAGCAGTGGGAACAAACTACAATGGAGGAACTGCACTAATGGATGTTGACAACATATGGAGGAAAGGAAGAAGCTACAAAGGCAAAGGGAAAGGAAAAGGCGGCTACAAAGGAAGCAAGAGCAAAGGCAAGTACAGGAGTAAAGGACACTACAAAGGATTCGACAAAGGCAGCAAAGGAAACTACAACAAAGGAGGATACAACAAGAGCAAAGGAAAAGGCTACTCAGGATCCAAAGGATATGGATCAAGCAAAGGCTACAAAGGCCAAGGAAACTACAGCAAATCGAAAGGAAAAGGAAACAACAACTACACAACATGCCATCGATGTGGCAAGCCCGGCCACTGGGCACAAGACTGCAGAGTGCCGGTATGGCACATAGGAGAAGGAGAAGAACTACATCCACTAGAACAAGAACAAGCAGATCACGACAACAATGATGAACTACCTCAGGATGTGAACGACACTTGGGACTGGTACTACGAAGGAGAAGAAGGACAACACGAGGTGAACTACATGGAGGAGAACTGGAACGACTACGACTATGACAACAGCTGGGATTGGAATGACAACAGCTATGAGGACACAGCGAACTACATTGGAGGCATCAACGAGTCACACCTCACCATTGGACACATCAGACAAGCAAAATCACGACTACACAAGCACAAATCCAAATCACTACTTGGCAAGAGAACAACACACACAACATCATGGAACGACCACAGCAAGAGCTTTCAACAATTCCTACAAGAAGACACCACAAAGCTACACTTCGACATAGCAGCAGCAAGACAACAACAAAGGAACAAGAAGATTGAGGACACTATCACCCACTACATCATGTACTCCAACTTCAAGTCATACCACCACCTGTTGATCGACTCAGGAGCATCTACACATGTTTGCCCAAAGGACTACGCACCGGATCTTCCACTACGACCTTGTGGAGAATCAGTTCCACAACTCTACACGGTGACCAACAAGAAGATTCCAGTCTACGGCATCAAGTACGTTCCCTACAAGCAGGACAATTTCAGGATTATGATACCCTACTACGTTTGTGATGTGAAGTATCCAATCCTCAGCGCATCAAGACTACTTGATAGAGGATATGGACTTGACTTCACTCCACGACACTGCACCATCACACATGGACAACAACAAGCACACCTCATAAGACACTCAGGACTTTTCTACCAGAGAAGATCGACATTCCTACAGGATTCGACATCTACCCAATGACTACAGACAATGGAAAATCCATTGCTGTGATTCAACCTACAGAGAGAGCAGCGCAACAACAAGAACAAATCGCACCACTCACACACACAGACCAAGGACTACGACAGATCCTTGGTGGAAACACTGACTACTGGAAACTTGATGGTGGCTACGCCATCAGAGTACACAAACGACCACGCAAAGCACTGTTCACACCACACAACAGCGGTTGCCCAATACCTGAAGGAGAACTAGATGATTGGCGACTAACCATCATCAACAGACAAGGGCAAGAGCAAGAACAACTACAAGAGAACCCAACACAACTTTCCAAGCAAGAACTACAACGAAGACTAGAAGGTGACAACTGGACTGGAGAAACCAGATTCAGAAGAAAGATAACACCTACACGCAGAGCAACATCAAAGACCACACCAACAAGGCAGAGCTCACAACCACAACGGCTAATGGACACACCACCAACCAGATCAAAGATCCAACTACGAGCACCACAAAAGATATGGAGACCCAAAGCAGCACCTTCTACAAATCTTGACACCACACAACCAAAGGAGACAATACACAGACCACTCACAGCACAGGAGGACAACCAAGACTACTGGGAAAGACAAGGTGAACACTGGATACGACACCACACAACGCTTAGAACAACTCTCTTCACTCCAACAGATGGACCAGGACATCCACCAATCAACACACTTGAACCTCACAGAACTACAATCACTCACAACAACTTTGGAGAAGTTTCACAACGCAAAGATGACTGGACAGTCATGGGCAACGCAGCACTACCATTTCAATGGAAAGGAACAACAAGGTTTACCGTGAAGAAAGACTACGAGTACATCCAGGAGAACCACGATGAGGAACAACAACACGAGCATCATGAAGCACACAGAGCAAGAGGACTACGACAACCGCAGCAGCCCACTCCACAACAAATAGCAGAACACAACTTGACACACCTACCATACAGAAATTGGTGTCCAATTTGCGTTCAAGGCAAAGGACGCCAGGACAACTACAAGAAACAACAATCACGACAACCCATCATCCAAGTGGATTTTGCCTACATCAAATCACAACAAGATCCGAAGACCATACCGGTACTGACAGCAGTTGATGTTACTACACAACTGTGTATGGCAGTATTGGTTCCAGACAAATCATCAATGATGGACTACATGGTCAACAACCTACAAGCATTCATCTTTGAATGCGGAAGAACACAAGGCATACTACAAAGCGACAACGAAGACACACTCAACGCACTTCTAAAAGCTACAGCAACAAAAGTCGGCGCAATGAGTGTACGACATTCACCTTCCTACAGCAGCAACAGTCAAGGAAGCGTTGAGCGACTACACAGAACACTTCTCGGACAAATCCGCGTCGTCAAAGCTCAGGTTGAAAGCAACTACAGCATGACGATGTCCACAAAGCACTGTCTACTACCTTGGATAGTACGACATGCAGCATGGACGGTAAATCGCTACGTCATCCACTCAGACGGCTACACAAGCTTTGAACGCCGCTGGGGAAGAAACTACGAGCGAGCAATCTGCGAATTTGGCGAGACACTACTCTACCTTCCACCACAACACAAGAAACTTCCGAAAGCAGACCTACGGATGCAGAAATGCATCTGGCTCGGAAAAGTTTCCGAAACCGGAGAAAACTACGTCGCAACGGAATCAGGCGTACAAAAGGTACGAACAGTACGGAGACTACAACCGGACTTCAAATACGACCTCGCACTGTTGAACAAAGTTTCCGGCACACCATGGGCACCACGACGGAACACCTACAACCCATCGTTCGCAACACTGTTGGATACGCAAC